TGTTTTACAAAAATCTATGTACAGTACAGTACTTCTGTTGCCTTCCCTCCATCTACTGTTAGTCATTTCAATCAAATAAGACTAACTTATAATGATTTTTATTTATTTATTAACATTATCACAAATTCTACAATTGTTTTTCCCATGTTTTACTTTTTTCATTTTATAATATAACATTATTTTATTCTTACTCAATTAACTAAATTAATTATCATTCTTACTATTATTATTAGTTTAACTGTTCTTATTTTATAATATTATTCCTAATAATAAGCATAAGTTTTATTAACGAATATATTCTTCTTTTAATTAAAATCGTCTCATTTGAATTGAACATGATAAATTTGTTATACAAATATTTTTTAATGAATCACTTACAGCATTTGTTAATATTGTATGTGGTATGCGATCTCCTTGTGCTCTCTCTCTCTCTCTCTCTCCCCAAATAAATGACAAATAATTTACAATAAAATTTGTTTAACACATAAAATAAATGAAATCATGTTGTAATGGATTTTATTTAAATAAAAGCAAAAACTAAACTAAACTATACATAAATATTATAAGAATTTATAATCATTCAAAATATAATCAAATAAATAAATTCAATATAATTATGAATTATTGATTAAATTAACTTAAAAATAAGGAAAACTTTACATAAATTGAATTGAATTGTCATTTGTTAGTGATTTTTATTAATTTGTGAAAAGTTATGAAAAAATAATTTAACGAATGATAAATGATGTGCTATTATATCGTATATGAGTTACCATTAGCTCAAAATCAATACAATATAAGTTATTGGTGTACAGTATGTATGCTTTCAGGGGTACAATCAGTTGCACAGGTATGACACTCCGCTCCTCATAGCACAGGTATTGCATGTGTTTCATGATATAGAGTAAGAATCGTCTTAAAAGCACTAAGAGTTTGCTTTACATTATATAAAAATATAAATAAAATAATATTTGCATATAATTCGTTGAATGTAATGATACATAAATAATCTTATATAAAATATTTATCACTAAATTAATTTGATTTGTCTTTATTAGTCTCAATGTTGTGTTTTGTTTGATTACTATTGAAAATATTTAGTTGTGATGCAAAACTCGGTCATGTTTTGCATTATAAATAATTAGATGATATTTGTATATAATTTAACAAAATAGGTGTATATATAGAGTCACAAAAGAACTCATTATTAAGTATTAGAATAAATAATTCTTATTTTCTTTTGACACGTTTTCCTCCCTTTCCTTTGCCATACTTATTGACATCGAGAGCTCCAATATCTTTGAGTCGTTGTCTTTGTTGAATCATATTTCTTAAGGTGACGAGCGTTGAAGGACTGGCACCTGTGCCGTGTCGCACATGCTTTCCAGTGAGGGGTCGACTGATGCGTTTGCGATCAAAAGAGATGCCATTATTGGTGGTGTCGGCCGAACGCAACTCAGTTCTCGAGCCATTCAGACCATTGAGGGTATAATCAGGTGAATGGTTCTCATTCTCATACATTGAGGTATTGTTGTCGCAGTTGTCGATAGAGTTGTGGTCCGAGTGCGGGCTGTGGTTATGGTGTGCACTGGATATGAGTTTAGCGTAAGTCTCGGCCACAGCCACAGCTGCGGCAGCTCTGGACGCGAGCGCCGGCTGATGCATCAGGTAGTAGTAGTAATGACGGTAGAGATCCAGTGGATTAGCTGTCGGTGACGACAACTCCTCCTTTGCTGGAGGAGACGCTTGATTTAGAAATGTATTTATTTCATGAAATAAGTGCTCGGGGTCTGCATGCGACAGGTCTGGACGATATCGAGATGGAAGCGAATGAGTCACACGAAGATCCAGAGCGTCATCACTTCCATAGTCATCACTGACACCACTTTCTATGATATCATCTCTTTCATTGTCCGAATCAATCATATTTTCCCTCTCATTGTGTCTGTAATACTGTTTGTTGTATTCAAGTCTTTGTTGATTATTCTTTCGGATTTGTGCCGCAATTCTTTCGATATGTTCGCCATTAGAATAGCGAGAAATAGCCAATGATTTCGGTTTATATGACACTTTTCGCTCGTATTTCTCAAAATTCATAAAATGTAAACTACTTTCAGATCTCGATTTCGATAAAATATTATTAGATTTAAAATTATTATTGCTTTTAAGCGCTGATACAAGTGATGGAAAGCTACTCGATCTGATCAGTGGTTGTGATACTTGCCTTTTCTTATACGGGTAGTGAGATCTGCTTGTCTTCATCGCATCGGGTGTTATAGACAACGAGGAATGAGTGGGACTTCGTTGGAGTAATCGTTTTGTTTCATTGTATTCGTGATGACTATTATGTGTTGAATTGGTTGATGGAGTCGATGGCGTCGATGAGTTGGATGAAGAGTTGTTAGGAGACGATGAGATGTGGGATCCGTTTTGTGCTGTTTTGTTGAAGACATTGCTTTTATATAATTCAATGTATGGCGACGAACGAAGAGGAATTAGTGAGTGGTCTGATCCCACTCTATAAGGATTGCCGAACTGGTCGTAAATAATGTCTTCATTGGAATTCTTCGAAGGAATGGCAGATTCTTTGACGGCAGGGTTTACATCAAGACATGATCTGTTAAGTAGCAGATAAGGCAGCAGATTTGATAAGGATTGCCGAACTGGTCGTAAATAATGTCTTCATTGGAATTCTTTGAAGGAATGGCAGATTCTTTGACGGCAGGGTTTACATCAAGACATGATCTGTTAAGTAGCAGATAAGGCAGCAGATTTGGGTTGGAGTGGATCTGGAGATTACGGGCTGTAGTGTTGGAGAGGACACATTTGGCCGACCACTCGTTGTAAGCGAAGGGCGACTCAATTGAATGGGACTCGAAGTCATTGGAAGATATGGCGAACGGGGAGATGGAGTGGTGAAGACCTGGTGATGGCGATTGTCTCTTTGTACTCAAGTCTATAGGCGTATCATCTCTGACAGCACTGGGATTACGGTTGGAGAGAAGCGCATAGCCATAGAAGCGCTCTTTGGGCTTCATTATGTCAGATCTGCAAATGGATGATCATATCTACAAGCAGTAGCTCTGGAGGATTGTCTGGAGGACAACAAGCAATGAATGTCTAAAGGGATACCTTAACGGCTTGTGTTGGACGGCTTGTCGATTGGGTGTGAGAGTTGTCGCCTATTCATCGTTGTCTCGCAGATCACAGCCAACCACTCTTTTGGATCTATGAAAGTAAATGAATGTCTAAAGGGATACCTTAACGGCTTGTGTTGCACGGCTTGTCGATTGGGTGTGAGAGTTGTCGCCTATTCATCGTTGTCTCGCAGATCACAGCCAACCACTCTTTTGGATCTATGAAAGTAATGCAAACTCTCGTTAGTATTGCTTATGAATCGCAATCCAATCCCTACGACAAGAATCACTTGGATCTGACACCCACTGACCCTTCAAAAGTACAGTCTATCGGTTAAGTCATGTAAGCAATTGGTTAATTGAATTTCGCTTCATTGACTGCAGTATGAAATCTTGAAATTATTTTTATGCTTATAATTAACAAAATTGGCAGATCCTCACATTAATGCACTATATATTTATTTGGCAAATAGTGAGCACAGCTAATAGTCAGGAAAATGTGCTCCGAGTCATTTAATTTTCTTGTAAATTGCTTTATAAAAAATGAAAGTAATACAGAAAGAAAGCACAGGTAAAAGAAATGTACACTTTTTTCTTACGTTCAGTCCTAAAAGGTGCTAATATTTAATTTCAATCAAATTTGACAAACTTTTTTTCACCGGAAACTTGGAGCGCTTTTTGTGAACCTTCAATCTCTAGGCTATTAAGTGCTGGACTTCGCATCACTTCAACTCAAATCTCACTCACAATCATAAGATATAATTAGTTTTTTCAATCATTTTAATTCCACATATTAAAGAGTCAAACTTCAGTCAAACTTCACATTTGGTGCAATTGTTTCCTTCACTCACTCACAGCAAAAGCGATGCACATCTGAGAGCGGGTTTCAGACAGACTATACTATCGTACAAATGCCGACAACTCTTATACTCTGGTATTTGTATCGCAATATAATATGTGGAGCGAAGTGTGCAGTGCTTTATAGCCTAGACCCCAACCCCTACCCCTATCCCTGCACTTACTTTTTTAGAGAGTCGTCAACATTCAGGTGAGGGCGGCATAAGTGGGTCAACAGATTCTAGTGTCCGGACAAACAAACAGATGGACAATAGTTGTGTCGATACACAGACAGACTTACAGTTGGTTTGTCTGTCTTCCAATATATTTTGCACCGATTTTTTTGTAAACAACGCTCACATACTATATAAGAGGGGACTCGGCGTAAGTAGTATTAGCCCGGAGTAGACCAAAAAGAGGGGGAGAGTAGCAATAAATTATATGTCAGTAGTGGTTGAGACCCTTCTTAGCCCACAGGCTATTGTACGGCATATAACGGTAAATCTTAGGATAACAGTACAGTAAGTGTGGAGCGATTGAGTTAAAAAAGTTTTTATGGGTAAACACCAGACTCTGTCCTTCACCCAAACCCCATCTAAAACACAACACAACTTTTGTAAAAGTGTCCACTTTTCCAATGAAAATGTTTTGCTTGTAAAGCAAGAGTTGCCCTCAAATGACATCTAATGAATGGTAATGATAGGAGAGTGTGGAACCATCTCCTCTTCCGGAGTGAATTGCAGTAATATAGGTATACCTCTGATGGCACTGACCTTTAACAGTGACCCAACCCATTGTGTTGACAGACGACACAATGCAATACACGTGTAAAGAAAGTTTTACATCTAATTTTGCTGAACTGTGAAACCAAATTGTTTAACATCTTATATGACTTGTAATTAAAGAATTAAAGGAAATATGCTTTCAATCATTTCTATGGACCAAAGAAATGCTACAGTGAATGCATAGGTCTCTGACTTTCTCATCATATTTTTGTATCATGGTTATCATATATTTGATACATGCATACGACAACTTTTAAGCTTGTGTTTATGAATACAAGTTTTTAAGTATAAATAATATTTAATAAAATGCAATATATAAATTCAATAGAAAATTAATAGCATACTATTTTAGTAGTAAATTAATTTAGTAATATTCTAATTGTGAGCGTTAAGTGGTAGGTTATTGTCAAACCCAATTGCATTTCATTTACAACCACAACTCATATCTATTCAATATACTGATCGTGAGTATATTTAGTTGAATATATATGGTAAATTTTGTGTTTAATATTCTAACAGTAATGCCAAAAAGGGGGTTCAGAAGGGGTATTTTGAGTTCGATCTATGAAGTGTCTAGGGAGGTCCCAGGGAACACTCCCCGTAAAATTTGAGTCCGATCGGACAAGAGTTTTGTATTACAAAATGGGACTTACTCCTTAACCTGAGAAAAAGTTTAATATTACGCCTATATAAAAAAATATGACGCAAATCAACTTACCCCCTAACTCAAAATTGAGTCTGGGCATCCCTGATATTCTAAACTATATTTCAAAATAAGTGAAATGAGAACATTTTCTTTATTAATCAAACTGTAAGACTATATTTCAATCCAATTTTATTTTGATTTCTTACCTGTACTTTGGATACTAAACTTTCTTGATTGAGAACAACTATTAAATTGTGTGTGGGATGTAGATATTAAATTCAGCATAGTTTAACAATAATATAATAATAAAACGACTTATTTTAACATTTATATAATATTCATTTGAAAATGGACTTGTTTATTTTGGGTAAATATAAATCAAACTTCAATTTTCTATATACAGTACAAAAAAGGGAAAAAATAACATACTGTATAATTAGTGTGTCTAACATAAAGTTTTGTATGAAACTTCTAATAAATTTAAGTTATTAAAAATATTAATAAAGTAAAAGTAAATTAAATCTAAAGAATATATTCTTAATAAAAATTAACTAAATACAGAGTATTTAGGAAACAATAAAATGTGAATTTAAGGAAAACCTAATTATTTATGTATTAAGTCATACATGCGATCAATTGAGAAGTATTCGTATTTAGATCAGGAAATAATTGAATCGCTTCTGTACTATATATCGCTGGAGTACTAAAAGTAGTTTTTATGTGTATTTTCTTAAAACTGTTTTGTTTGAATCACTTGGTAAATAAAATACTGTAGTATTTGAGTGAAACAACATATATGTTAAGCAATTTCTCGCTCAACAGCACAGTTATATAATAAGTAGAATACCGTAGACTGTGTTATAGAATAGGAACTTTTATTTATGGCTTTTGATTACTTTCTCACTTAAGCTGATTTGTATTTTTGAAAGCAGGTCTAATATATAAGGATAAGAAACAGGTTTAGGTTTGGGTTCACTTTCACTTCCGTGTCCTAAACTTGTAGTTATGATGAGAGAAATGAGGCAAATGTAGGGCACGTGTGGAAATAGGCCGCCTAACAAATCTCTTTATTTATTGCAATCAAAATCAATTTAATGTCAGTCTAACCAAACTGTTGGTTAAGTTCTATTACTTAACCCGAAACCTAATTTTGAATACTATTTAATCAATGCATACATTCATAGAGTATATGAATGAAAGAGAAAACTCGTTATAAATATTGAGAGCGCATCACATCCTGTATTCAATATAACGGCACGCATTCGACACCACTTTCACTCCGGAACACATCCACTATCCTCCATATCATACCTTTCCATACCATACCATACCATACCATACTATTATGTATCTTACAACTTTCAAGCCATGTCCAAAATGGGTCACACTCTCCATTATCTCCCCGACTTTATGCCATCATTTAATCAAAGCTCACATAACTTATTTGCAATACAAGTCATCATTTTATACTTTCTCTAATCTTCATTTTTAGGATATATTTTGCAAAATAATTATATTGTTTTGTATTATTAAAAATATTAATATATTTGACTTTTTTTTAACAAATATTCATTTAAACATATTTGAAGACAAGTTTTAAACATAACTCACAGTATTTTAAGATTTTTTAAGATATCGTACAACTGAACCATTAAATATTGTAAAAATCTTTTGTAAAAGAATTTTACAATTGTTTTACCGGAAGTCAGTATTTTTACGCTTATTTTTGGACAAAAATATTTAATAGAAATCTGCAAACATTGGACTCTTGTCTCCCGAGACTGAAAGACAAAATAAGTTGAAGAACTGTTGCATAACTTATAATAAGCAAATGTTACGCCAAAAGTACACATCCGTTCATTGAATGTTCAGAAAAAGTACAATAAAACGGATGACAATCCAAAAAATATAATCAATAATATAAAAGATATAACACTCGAGAGGTTTTTGGAGATCCCACCCGAATTTAAATCCAAAGATAACTTTGAAATGAATTTATTTGATAGAAATATCTAAAAAATGGTCTTACCTTTGCTTTAATCCATTGATTGATAAAATCCGAGTGGAATATTTGAACAAATTTAATATAAACTAATAATTTGCGTTAAAAACTTTTGCAAACGAAATATTTATTAGAAAACTAAAAAATAAGAAAAAAACTAATCTTATGGTGTATTAAATGAAGCGATGGTTAGAGCAGTGGTTTGTACTTTCACTTGAAGTTTGAAACTGGAAAACACTTATCATTGTTTGCAGCACTGATTCAATCACAGGTAAGACATAAGCCATAATTGGGTCACAACGCGATTCTACGGGATTGTTGTTATGACCAGTTGTTGCGATTGGAGCCCTACTACTGCTCAGCCCTACTCAGCCCTATTCAGCCCAACACAACCACTACTCACTAACCACTCTCTCTTACAGCACAGCCACCAGAGAAGATAACACTGATTTGTATTGCAGTTTTGGACAACTTCTAGATTATGTGTTTTAATTTGGTTTAGGACTCAACTTCCTCATGACTTGACCCCAAAATTATCAAAAATTAGTTATATATTTAAAAAACAAAAGTATTTCAATAGTGCCAAAGCTGTGGACTTTTACAATACTAGTCTTCATGTCCAACATTTATGCCTATAATTACAATTTCACTATTATACTCACACTACTAATTATATTATATAAAATTACTTAATGTTTATTATAAATCTTGAAGTTATTTAAAATTTTATTTAATTTCTTAGGAAACAAAAATTAAAACTCAATTTAATAAAAGCAACAATATCTTTATTAATACTTCTTTGCTTATATAAAGTTTTTATAAAATGCTTTTTACTGTTAAACAACTTATACAATATTATACCTGTTGTCTAAATTGAATTAATATTGTAGTTAATTGTAATACCTGTGCTCTTAATCAAAGGCACTGTATATTGAATATGCGCTACACTTCCGCTTTGTATCTTAAAAGTCAGTCTATGAGTGAATGAATAAAATTAAATATTATATAAATAGTTTATTTTATATGCTTTATTAGTGGATTATATTATATAATCAAGTTCTAGTATGTTATAAATAATTTTCATTTCTATTGTAATAAATGAATGAGTATTTCCCACATCAATCCCTATAAAGACTTAAAGTTTTATTTCATTTTATAAAAATATAAAAACGCTTTAAACATATTTTCTGGGATTCAATGAATTTGAAAACAGGAAGTATTATTATACATGTTTTTAACCCACCCAACCCCTGGCCAATTGTTTCAGCTTATCATTGATGTAAATTGTGATTAAAACATTTTGTTTGAATTTTATCATAATTGTAATCAAAATACAAATCTATTTTAATTTATTCAAAATTTTCAAATAATTTGCTTTATTGATTGCTTTTATCTGTATTCAGTATACCTTTTTATATACAATATAAAAATGAATATAATACATAGTATCCTTTATTTTTGTAAATCATAATTAATTACAGTAATGGTAATTATAATAAATGTACTTAAATGTAAATGTAATGTAAAAGAAATTCTTCAATCGTTTGTCTAAAAAACAAAATATAAATACAAAGAAAACAACAAATACTTAATTTCTATAGAAACCATTTTTTGTCACAACAAATACCTGTATTCTCAGTAACATTTGACTGCAATCTCAATAGTAAGTCATTTCTCGGAAGACTTCAATTAAATATTTAAAATGAATTCTTTGTGAAATATTATTATCAAATTATTACATTGGAAAGCAATGATGGCTACTGTTCGTCCATTTGAGGTGAGACTAAACTTGGTGCTAAATATTGTATTTTTGAATTTTAAATATATTAATTAAATATTAAACTATTATATATGAGAGCTAATCTATTTTAAAAAGGTTTCCTTATAAATAAGAATAAAATGTGTCACAAAAAAGTTGATTTAGAGGCAGTATTTCAATTGACTGTAAGATATAGAGAATTAATGGCAAATCATTGAAATGGTGATACACTAAGTTCTACTATCTTATGGTCACTTTAATAAGCACTTCCATTATTTTGCAGGTAATATGTTGTCAATAATTTTAATTTCAATTTATTTTTATTTTAAAAATGAGATACAGTGAGTGTTGCGAGAGAGAGAGAGAGAGAGAGAGAGAACTTGTATTCAGGAATAAGTACTGTATGTGCTTTAAATATGCAATAGTATTTAATAAGTGCTGAAATGGCAAACTTTCACTTTCTACACTTTCTAATACATAATCACTATTACAACACATACCCTCCCATTACAAACTTGGCGTTGCATTTAGACCGCATTATTTTAGACGTTTAGCTTAATTATCAATACATTTGCTCCAGATATTTTGTCATTAGAGCGGATATGGTTTAGTTGTTTAGTTTGTTATCAAACAATTAAATTATAAAAATAGTGTCCCATTCTTTGATATGAATTACAAAAACTAGTCGTGAGCTATTTGATATTAGATTTGCATTCACGTTAACATTGGTCTGCATTGACAGGTGTTTCGCATATTACTGTACTGTATAACTGTTATACCATTCAATTGTTTTAATATTTTGATAACTTTACTAAACTTATTGTATATACAATTAAAGCGCAGTTATGTCCGAACAGTCGGTGCGCTTCTCCAAAGATAACTCCCAAATAATGACTGAAGTCTCAAATAATGAAGTGATTTACTGCAGAATTTATATTTTTAAGTTTTACTATATTTTTTTATTTTTAGGCTCCACTCAAGTCCGGTGGCACTTTGGATGCCAATGTGTATGCAACTAAAAAAACAATTGCTCAGGGTTTGTTATCTAACTCGACTTTTATTTTTTCATCAATTTTATTAATTAAAGTTTATGTATAATTAGGAATGTTGGATGTTGCATTATTGACAGCTAATGCCAGGTAGTGTATCACCATTTCAATGATTTGCCATTAATTCTCTATATCTTACAGTCAATTGAAATACTGCCTCCAAATGGGCAAAAAGAATCAGTTCTACTATCTTATGGTCACTTTAATAAGCACTTCCATTATTTTGCAGGTAATATGTTGTCAATAATTTTAATTTCAATTTATTTTTATTTTAAAAATGAGATACTGAGTGAGTGTTGCGTGAGAGAGAGAGAGAGAGAGAGAGAAAGAGAGAGAGAGAGAGAGCTCGGAAATTTACTAATTACTATAGAAAGATTGTAGTAAATTTTTATTGAAATTATTATCCATACTGTATGTGCTATAAACCTGCTTATTCAGTTTTGGGTTTGATTTTGGAAATACTGGCCTTATCATTAAATTATATTGACTCTAATGTTTGTCCCTTTATTTAAACAAGGCCCATTTACAGTATTAATGGCTTTAGTGTATAAAGTTCTTTTAAATTGTTTACTTAATTTATAAATTATTATATGCATATTAAAAACTAAACCGAAGTATTAACATACCGTATAATCAATGAACAATTACTCATTATTAATTGAATAATTAGAATTAGAAATAATTAATTTTGAGATGAGTTAATAAAATAATTTTTATTGACTTCAGATAGCATTAGGTGCGGCAATAATATTGAAGTCCAGATTCAACATTAATAAAGACCACCACCACTCAAGTGCTAACTTCTATAACAATCTAATTGTTTGGATTGTTTTTGTCATAACTATCCTAAACATAATAATATCATCGTTTGGATTCGATTTCATTCTTATCAATCGGTCAGACATCTAGAGTATTACAAAACTATTATTAATGTAATATACTAAACAAATGCATTTCATTTTTCATATACAGTACAGTTGAAAGTTGTAATATTTCTATTTAGCCATTTAAATTATTCTAAATTAACAATATTAAAAATAATTCCGAAAAATCAGTAAATAGGCTAAGCAAGCAAAATTTATTTAGCGTTAAATTTCATCCAAAAATATCAAATTGAATATAAGAAAATCTTATTGATACAATCTTCCATATTTTTAGCCATTTTAAAAAATATGGATTTTGAAATTTATTTAATGAAAATATTTTTCATTAGCAACTTTACAAAATAAAACGTATAATTATTTATATTTGTTGACCATCAAAGATCTAAAGTCAATTAATAATTTTCTGATATTATCTTTACCTTTTATGTTTTAAATTAATCTGTATCGGGACAAACAAATTTGTTAATATCTTTAATACAATTTACTGTATATTAACTTTAGATAATAATTACAATTCTAATTATTATTGAATAGCTTATCATAAAATACCAATTAGAAGTTACAATACTAATTTATAAATTGACTAATAATGATAAAATAATTAATTTTACAGGTAATAGTGGGAGGAATATTTGTTTTTGTGGGTTATGTCAACTTTAATGATGAGAATAAGCAAAGGAAGTTGAATATAATGAACAATGCTGCAACTATATTTGTATTCTTTATAACTGTTGTCAATGTATTAATCGCTGGATTTGGTTTCAATTCCGAGAATACGTTTGTCTGAAAATATNGGGCAAAAAGAATCAGTTCTACTATCTTATGGTCACTTTAATAAGCACTTCCATTATTTTGCAGGTAATATGTTGTCAATAATTTTAATTTCAATTTATTTTTATTTTAAAAATGAGATACTGAGTGTTGCGTGAGAGAGAGAGAGAGAGAGAGAGAGAGAGAGAGAGCTCGGAAAATTTACTAATTACTATAGAAAGATTGTAGTAAATTTTTATTGAAATTATTATCCATATGTGCTATAAACCTGCTTATTCAGTTTTGGGTTTGATTTTGGAAATACTGGCCTTATCATTAAATTATATTGACTCTCATGTTTGTCCCTTTATTTAAACAAGGCCCATTTATTAATGGCTTTAGTGTATAAAGTTCTTTTAAATTGTTTACTTAATTTATAAATTATTATATGCATATTAAAAACTAAACCGAAGTATTAACATACCGTATAATCAATTAACAATTACTGATTATTGATTGAATAATTAGAATTAGAAATAATTAATTTTGAGATAAGTTAATAAAATAATTTTTATTGACTTCAGATAGCATTAGGTGCGGCAATAATATTGAAGTCCAGATTCAACATTAATAAAGACCACCACCACTCAAGTGCTAACTTCTATAACAATCTAATTGTTTGGATTGTTTTTGCCATAACTATCCTAAACATAATCATATCATCGTTTGGATTCGATTTCATTCTTATCACTCGGTCAGACATCTAGAGTATTACAAAACTATTATTAATGTAATATACAAAACAAATGCATTTCGTTTTTAATATACAGTACGGTTGAAAGTTGTAATATTTCTAGGATTCGATTTCATTCTTATCACTCGGTCAGACATCTAGAGTATTACAAAACTATTATTAATGTAATATACAAAACAAATGCATTTCGTTTTTAATATACAGATGCCAACTTTCAACATTATAAAGATAAATCGGTAAATTTAATAAGATTTTATTGTTATAATTTCTATTAAGGCTTTTTTTAGTCATTTATCCGACTCGTTCGTTTTAAACAAATCGCAATTTAAAGATCCAAAAAATATCAAATTGAATATAAGAAAATCTTATTGATACAATCTTCCATATTTTGAACCATTTACAAAAATATGGATTTTGAAATTTATTTAATAAAAATATTTTTCATTAGCAACTTTACAAAATAAAACGTATAATTATTTATATTTGTTGACCATCAAAGATCTAAAGTCAATTAATAATTTTCTGATATTATCTTTACCTTTTATATTTTAAATTAATCTGTATCGGGACAAACAAATTTGTTAATATCTTTAATACAATTTACTGTATATTAACTTTAGATAATAATTGCAATTCTAATTATTATTGAATAGCTTATCATAAAATACCAATTAGAAGTTACAATACTAATTTATAAATTGACTATTAATGATAAAATAATTTTAAAATGTCCATTATCACCCTCCTTATAAACAAAAACACCCAATACAGTTGAAATTACTACTCTTATTCGTTTCCTTCAACTTATATTACTTGTTACGACGTTGATATAAACATAAGAAATATTGACTTGTCAATGTATTAATCGCTGGATTTGGTTTCAATTCCGAGAATACGTTTGTCTGAAAATATAAACTGAGACAACGATATATGCGATACAATTAATTATAAATTATTTTTTAAACAAATACTATCTCAAAGTTTTCCAGATCAATCATTAATGTAATAAATATAGATATATTTTGTTTACCGTAATTTATCAAAAATAATACTGTTATAATAATTTCTTGAAACTCACTCATTATCTAAATTAAGAGATATAATAACATTATATTATTAAAATTTAAATACTGTGCTGTTTGAATATTATGTAAGCCATATAACTGAACATATTTATAATACTGTGTGATAGACTACAGTATATTATAAACTCATAAAAAATCTATTAATTTGTTATTAATATATTAATTTTATATTATAATAATTTGAATATGGAATAGAATCTAAGTTTTTACAACTTAATGTTATAATGATGAAATTTTTAACAATTATTAAATTTATTAATATTCATTTAAGTATTACACTGTTGTTTATACAATAAATATGTCCAAAATGTTCTTATATTGGTTATTGATAATTTAAGTAAAGTATAATATTTTTACTTTTTTCTGATAATTAAATATCAAAAAATAATAATTCAAAAACTTTATTGCACGTTTGAATTTAATGAACGAAACGTAATAACAAAAGTAACAAAAAAGTGAATTTATATTAATATAATATAATTTAAATCTAACATATGAATGATAAAATTAAAAGTAATCACATTTCTATTAAAATATGTACTTATTGTACATTATATTATTTATATAAATAGCTTTACAATAATTATCACAGTTTTTTATTTTGTTTATCTGAAAAAATAGTTTGATTGAGAGATTGGCTGTCGTTTGTGATAAACTTATAGTTGAATTCTCGGAGCAGATCCGGACAGACCTTCTGGACCTGTAATATATAAGTCATATTAAGAGTTTGCATCCATTCATAGGCAACAGTCTTGGAGTTTCTGATAGTGGTGTACGGATTCCTTTTGGATAAATCACTGGAACTGGAGTTCGTATGAGTTCTCAAAAATCGTTTAACGCTAGAAGAGTACGGAATTGCCAACTTTTGTAGCAATAATTTTGCATATTTTGTTGGATCTGTCGAGAGATCTTCATATCTAATAAGAGTAAACTTTGAAGGATTTATTTGTTGTAGTCTTTTGAATGCGTTCAAGTCATTCCTCATCTCAGAGCACAAGGAGTTGACATCCGAACAGTTAGTTTTATGGGAGCACCACATCATGTTTTGTCGCGACTTAAGTGTCCCGCGAGGGTCTCTAACTAAATAAATTACATTGACATTCAAATCATCTAATTTAGGCAATAGAGTCTCCAAGTGTCTCATGTGAAGTCTGGCCACTTTCATCACCTGAACCTTAGCCCTCTTACAGGTCTGGCTAATAAAGTTGGGGTCAAAGCATGTGTTGACTCGGAAGCGACAGATACCCCACAAAAATTTATTCCATTTTAATAAGAATTGATTTCTAGTTTTGTGAACCCATTCCACATAATTAGTAATACGCGGGAAATTGCATCGAAATATGTGATCAATTATATGAGTGGCCTCTTCTAGCCTGTCATCTTCAATGCGGACCCCATCGGACATATAGTGGAGGGGCTCGAAGGTGTAGAAACTCTTCCAATTCTGTTGCAACAAATCGCCTAAGAATGTCGAACCGGACCTGAAGTATGTGAACAATAGGATTCTGGTGACCGACCGCTCGGCTATTATTGGCAATGAGTTCAACGGATTGAATGCCGTCGACAATAAAGTCTTCAATTCTTGTTGATTCCGCTTCTGTTTGAAAATATGAGTCATATTAGCCATAAAGCGATCGTAAGACCAGGGAGGGTACCAGTCCTCGTGCTCCAGAAACGGTAACTTTTTCATCGATTTTCGCTTATTAATTTGGTCTCTGATATCATTAGAAACCAATAATTTCTTATTATTTAATCCTTGTTTTTGTTGATTTAAAACTAATAACAATTTTATAGATTAACAATTTATAAATTAAACATATATTTCAAGTATTCTTACTTTGATTTTGAGTATTTTGATAATTATGTGCAAATGAATCAGTGTTTGCTTTCCAGTGCCAGGAATAAGGAATTGCCGTTTGTATGAGGAGTACACACATTGCAAACCCCAGAAGAAGCACATAAAGTCGAAAGCGTGTCATTTCGGACAGAGTTTGGTGTCTTTCTAGGGTTTGGGTGACAGCACATGAAAACAAGGGTCACTTTATTACTTATTTCTTATTATATATTACTTCCATTTCTTTCCAATTATTAACTAACTTTAGTTTACTAATTTTCAAAATTATATAATGTATATAACTTGACGTTACCGTATTTATTATGGATGACATATAATACGGAATATATGAGTGTAGATAAATTCAATATAATACTGTATCTCAACAAACTTAATATAAGTTAGATGTGAGTTCGCTTTGAGTTGAGGTAAAAATAAGCTAAAAAGAGGACAGAAGTACTTATTTAAAAATAAGTCTGATGTATATAATCACAAAATGGAGGTCAATGTGTCGATCCATTAGATCCAAAGAGAGACACATTCACTGATTTATCATATAATGTCTCATATATACAATGATACAAAATGAATTGTATCATATCTATATTTATACACTAATATATTTTGTCATATAATTCAAATCAATCGTTTCGATGAATTTTGAAATTAAAATGAAGTGAAACGAGGAAAATGTGGTAAAATTGTATATAATTGAGAGATGACTGACTCAGTGGTTGGGATGATGTTCAGCCATGAGTTCAGCGAAACCGACAAAACAAGTATTAGTTCACAGATTTATCCAAAACTTGTCTCAATTGGCCTTCACTTCAATCATTAGAGAAGAGAAATTCCCGGACTTTTGTTTGAAGAATACAATATAATATAATTAACAAACAAATTAAAATATATTTAGAAATTACTGTATAATAGTTTATTACTTGTATTAATATTCAATTTACAGCTCTGAAGCATTAAATCTACAAGTATAACTTTTAAATTGTTTGTATTTCATTGTATTTTTATGGAAAAATACTTATTAAGTAATTATTAAACAAATTCTTAAGAGGCAAACAATTTTGCTTTTAAATTACGTCTAGCTAAAATAAAAATTGTAAATTTTATTACTTAACAACCTTTAGGAATTGTTTTATAGAATAAAAATGTTAGACAAATGTTTTGAAATCTAATAATTTATTTTTAATATTTATTTTTTTATAAAGGGTTCATTTAATAACTTTACCAAACAAAATTAATTACTTTTAAGTAGACAATTTCTACAATTAATATTTTAAAATGTAATATCACTGTAAAATTGACATTATCAATATCATTTTTATAAGATACCAAAGTTTGATTCGGAAACGTTAAACCATGTATTGTAATCAATATATCATGTTAACAAAATACAATGGATTTAAACACATTAATTCTCATTAAAATGAAACAAAGTTTGGAAAACTTTAAAGTTAGATGTTGTATACTTTACAACCATGTATTATCGCTTACTTTGTATTGTAAAAATTAGTAGAATTGTTGAAATAACTGGAAAATTGTCATCGACACTACAGTGTTAAACAATTAAAATTAATAAAATCTATAATTACAATTAAAATTTTAATTATCTTTTCTGAAACATGTTGTATAAAACTTGATTTATTAATTTATTTTCTTAAATATTAATAAAATAAATATTTTACATAAAGTTACTACAGTATATGA